TGGACAAGACCAATTTACACCAAAAGTCAAGACTGAGGGACAGATGAGGAACCGTTCAGATTGTTTCTCTCATATTTCATCAACCAGTTCATTTTTCCTTCCAGTAATTTAAAGTGGCTCATTTATAAAACAAAGCACTCATTTTACACATTTATACAGTAAAATAGCATTGCTGTTGAAAATCTCTGGCCTGTCTTTTATCTTTTGAAATCAGATGTTCAAGGTGGTATGCTGTCAAATCATTTTTTTTTTTTTTGATACCAGGAATCAAACTCAAGACTTGATGCTTGCTAGGCAGGAGCTGTGCTCTTGAGCTAAATCTGAGGCCCCATGCAGTCAAATATTTAAATCAAAAAACAGCATTTACTATTTTGACACACAATTTTGTTTGTAGACACAGAATAATTGCCTAGTTGTAGATATGGCTGTAGGCTTAAACGTTTAAGTTTGAGGTGAACTATGGGAGGGTCCTTATGTGACCAGTGACATACACTTTTCCTTTCTGAAGGAACTTTCTTCTGTAGGTGGTTCATTCATTTGATACTTTTCAATAACCTCTCTAACAAAATGTTTGGCACACCCCCAAATAGTTAGATTTAGAGGAAATTTTCTGTGCTTTGAAAGGGAGAGGTCACCAAACAAGAATAAACTCTTGGGGTTGAAAAATGTTTTGTCAAAATGAAATGTAAAGTTCAGTAGGAGGAAGATAATGAGAAAACTTTATAAAAGGCAATGCAGAAAGTCAGAGATGGAAGCAAGCAGAGAGAAGAAGATCCATTCAGACAGCTCAGTGGTCAAGTGATAAGAATTTTGGGATGAGAAGAGAAATACAGAGAAATAAATTCATCAAAACAAAAGGAGAAAGTTCAAAGTGGAAAGTTACGAATTTCCAGATGAAGATGTCACCCGCAGCGGGTGGGGAGTCGCAGAGAAGCACAGACAGCGACACTTCAGATCTCTGGGGCTGAGACCAGCCCCTCTGCAGGGACGCCGGCCAGAGGCTGGCACAGGCATGTGCTCACCCGAGCCAGGCTGGGATCCATCCTCAGGGCCACAAAAACCAGGCAAAATGAAAAGCAAACAGCAACAACAAAGGTTCCGAACATTTCCACGGGTCAGGAGAGCGTAAGTCGTAGGCAAACAAAAACAGAGAAGACTGCAGCAACACAAAGACATGGGAATTTGAAAGGTCTGGAGCTCCTCAAAATCAGCACTGGAGAAAAATTTAGAAAAGCAGTGCATCTAGTAATTCTGAGGGAAAATAACTTTGAGCCTAGAATTCTATATCCAAACAGGCCATCAAGTGGAAGGGCAGAATAAAGCAGTTTTCAGACATGCAAGCACTAGGAAACATTCATTTTATAGAAACACTGTTTATTTATTAAGCAGTACAAGGCACTGAACCTAAGGTCGTTACACTGAACTACATCCACAGCCCTTTTTGATTTTCAGACAGGGTCTCATTAAGTTGCCCAGGATGGGCTTGAACTTACAATCTTCCTGCCTCAGCCTCCTACAGGGTGGAGATCACAGGCCCACACCACACCCTGGCCCTGCTTATACCCTTTCTCAGGAAGGTATTGGGGGTGCGTCTCAGAATAAAAGGGAGCAAGCAAAAATGAGGGGGCAGGCATCAGACTTAGGACAGGTCATTCATTACAAAGAAGATCCAGGCCTGGTCCAGGTAGAGAGAAGCCGGCCTAAAACTGGGAGAAAGGGTTACAGAGGACAGGAGATGGAAGAGAATATTCAACGCATTAGAGTGCTTGGGAATAATTAATTGGTCTTTGATAGATTTGCTGGAGCTTTTGGAGAAAATGAGTCATAAGCAAAGTTTAAAAACTCAGCAAACTAAAATAGAAAAATGAAACCAAAAACGGGACAATTATTACGTCCAGGGAAAGAAAGCTGCACAAAGAAGGACGATCGTAGTCCACTACGAGGCTCTAATATTTACTTATTTGTAATCCTATAAGGACTGACACAACTGTATTCTGTGGGTGGGGGAAAAGAGAAAGGAAGAAGTAGAGTGTAAGACAGCTACAGCCTCGAAGGAAAGCCAGGAGTCTGCAACACACACGTACATAAACGGCTGTTAGTGTTAATTGTGTGAAAACAGAAACAGAACAGCTAGAGGAGTTAAAGGAGGCCACTCGGTGGGCGGGGTGACTGGGGGCTCTGTGGGCTGTTGTTTCCAACACAGGTCTTTTAACACTATTTCAACTTTGCACAAGTGCTGCTCTTATAAATATGGAAACGCATGGAGTCCTTAGTCGGCACCGTGGGGCCTTGATTTGCCAGGCTGTGTAACAGCGTCATGAGCAGGGTGTGAAACTGGAAATGCATTGGCTCGTATTTCTCCTAGTTGGAAGGCTGGTGTCACAGGCCAGCTCCTTCTGAGGCAGGACGGGCCAGGCTGTCCAGCACTCCTTTGACTGGTTGGTGGCCATCCTCTCCCGGGCTGTTCGTGTCATCTCGCCTGTGTGCTCTGGACTGCAGATTACTCCTTGGTGTAAAAACAAGGGTCGTGTTGGGTTGTGGACCACTCTGCTATCCTTTCTACTGTAAAATGTAAATATTCTAAGAGATATTTTGAGTCTAAGTATGATAAAAGACTTTCTCATCTATTTTGTGCGTGTGGTTTGAAATTCAGTAGTAAAATAATTTGTTATTTAAAGCTAAAAAAAGAAAAGCTCACCCACAGCATTTTGGGCGTTAGGTCTGAGCGTTTGGGAGGCTGGGGACACAATTCAGCCTTGACCTCGGGGCTGTCAGCCACCGCCCAGCGCTCTGGGAAAACCCTCTGCCGTGCCAGCAAGCCGCGGCGGTTCACTGTGGCTGAGTCCACTGGAGTCCTGGGAGGTCTCTCAAGGTGCTGTCCAGCAGAGCGCTGCTGCCCTGCTGTGGCCCCTGCGGCCCTCGGGGCCTGGGAGTGCCATTGCGTGAAGGGCAGATGCCAACTTGACCTCAGAATAAGAAGCACTGGCACAGTGAGCCACTTGTGGGACCGCCCTACTTCGGCTGCATAATTGTGCGTCACCCCTTGTATTGTGGAGCAGACAGCCGAAAGTGGCCTTCAAGAGAATGTGCCCTTAAAGGCTATAGGAAGTTTGGGGGAGTGGCGGGGTCCTTTAGGAAAAATTTTACTCTTTGTGATACTGTGGATTGAACACAGGGCCTTCGTGTTGAGCCACAACCCAGCCTCTTTTTATTTTGTATTTTTACACAGGTCTTTCTAAGTTGTTAAATTGCCCAGGCTGGGCTCAAACTTGTGGTCCTCCTGCCTCAGCCTCCTGGAGTGATGGGCTTGTGCTACCACACCTGGCTCTAAAGATAGTTCTTTACAGTCTTCCCACTCAGTCATGAGTTATTAAAATAATCTGACGTCTTGTTGTTTTGTGGTTAGAAAGCAAGTCCTTATAGCTGGCCCACAGTGTCTATAAGCTTCCTTAGGACCTGGACACAGGTGCTGAGCCAGACAGCCCTGCCTGTGCAAGGCCTGCTCCGCCCAGCGTGCAGCTCTTCCTGGGGTAATCCTCACTCTGACCCAGCGCGGTGGGTCCTGTAGTTCTGCCAGGTGCAGGGCTTGTCCCCAGTCCTCGGCCACACTCACCACAGCACGACGCCCCACTGTAGGGAAGAATCAGTCGGCAGATGTTTACAACTCATCGTGCAGAGAAAGATTTAATTACCCACTTAGTAGACAGATATACTGAGTGGTTACTGTCTCATTGTCTCATCTTTTCTAATTCTCTGGCTGATTTTTTTTTTTTTTGGCATATGCTGAAACAAGGGCCCACAAGAAATTTGTTAATAATGTTGACATTCACAGTTTACCATCTCTCAGGGAGTTCTGGGGATTTAAGAGGCAAAGTAGCTACTTGATTAGATTGGTTTCAGAAATATCCTTTCAGGGTTCAAGTCACTTGTGAGTAGTGCTACATGTGTAAAAGAGAACTTAGCAGAAGCACAGGGTTACAGGATCCATGAAATTTAACAGCACAGGGAATTATGGGACTTTATAGCACAGCCCTCAAATTTTAGCAAACTGATAAGAAAATGTCTAAGACCAGTCAATATTATCATGTTGATTGAGTGACGATTCATTATTTATAGAAATCATTATTTATAGGATTTGTATATTATTTATAAAATTCATTATTTTTAGAAATCTTCTAAGAGAAGATTTATAAAAGTTTTCATTAATTTGAGTGTAATTGTCTGTTTGTTTGTTTTGTTTTGTTTTTTTGTTTTTCTCTGGTACCGGGAACCGAACTCATGACCTTGCACTTGCCAGGCAGGCACTTTTGCCGCTGAGCTAAATCCCCAGCCCAATTTGAGTGTAATTGTCATGGAGCCTTCCAAATTCAATCTTAACTGTAAGTAGACTAAATTAGATTTTCTCCTGTATGTGCATGTCAGTCTTGAGGTGTGTGTGTGTGTGTGTGTGTGTGTGTAGGTGGGTGGGTGGATTGGTTCTGCACGGAATGTGCAAACCGAAGTCCCGAGAGAGGACTCTGTCTGTGTGATTCTGTGTTCGAGGCTTACGGGCAGCTCAGGGTGAGGATGGAAGTGCAGGCGGGATGGTGGCCATGGGAGTGGCATGCTGGTGGAAGGGTGTGCGGGCTTGGGGGACCTGGCTGTGTGCATGTGGGGTAGAGTTGACATGGAGCGTGCTGTGGCAATGGGTGAGGTTTCACATGTGGTACTGAGAACATGGGAGGTTGCAAGATGTATGTGGGGGCCATGCGTGGGTGACGGTGTGGGGGAGCATGTGTGATGTCTGTAGCTTAGTTCAGCGTTTGTTTAGATTTTCTTTTGCTCTTTGTTTTGGCCTTTCTTTTTGTCTTTGTTTGGCCTTTGTTTTGTTTCTGTTTTACTCTTTGTTTAAACTTTCTTTGGCTTTTGTTTGGTCTTTCTTTAGCCTTTTGTTAAACTTTGTGTGGCCTTTTTGTAGTCTTTGTGTAGCTTTTGTTTTGAAGTGGATCTCGGCTGAGGCCCCATCAAAAACACCTTGTGTAATGAAAACCCAGATACACAGCCTCTCCCTATATATTCCGTGTCTTGAGGAGGCCTCAGGCCCTCAGCGACGAGGAACCTGCGACCCAGGACCGAGGACTGGAGGTAAGCAGAGGACGGTCTCCACTCTCCTCACCTGCTCTTCACCCTCAGGCGGGAGCAGCGTGCTGCTCCGGCCATTTCCTCCCATCCCGGGAGAGCTGTTGGGATAGCAGGCAGGGTTGGGGCCATCGGAGAATGGAAAGAACAAAACACGGAAATCAGCTAGTTTACGCCGGGCTGGACAGAGCCCTCTTTGAACAGCCCTGCTCGTCGTGGGCTCTATCTGGGCCTGCAGCGCTCTGAGCCCAGCGGGATTTCCTCAGCTCACAGGCCCCTGTTGCTGCCGTGAGCTCAGCGGTGCTGTTGGCTTGTTTCTCCTTTTAAGGTTTTTTTATGATTTGAAAATGAATTCTTCCTGGAAAATGATTGGACTCTTATGTGTGGGATGCCGGGGCGGGCGTGGGGCAGCAAAGACCAGTGACCTGAGACGGGAGATGCGCACGTGCCTGCCCTGTCGGACTCTCTCAGGGAATGTCCAGTGCTGTGGTGGCAGCAAACGGGAAGAAGAGAGCATGTGCCAGGGCAGCCAAGTAGTGAACGTGGCTAGAACGCCAGAGGCAAAGCGGAGAAAGGGATTTCTGGTGTCGTGGGTAAAACGGGGAGGGAGAAAGCAGAGAGCCCCCGGGTGTGCAATGTGCGGTTTCGTGGTTATGTAGGACGGCAAGGGGGCTTTTGGTGAGTGCATTTCAGAAACTGCTTCAGATTTACACAAGAGTTGCAAACAGAACAAAAAATTCCAGATGGGCTGGTTTAACTGGATGTTAACATCTTACCACATTAGCTTTATCATCATCATGACAAATCTACATATACACGTATATTACATTTTTTCTGAGCCATTTGAGCCAATTGCAGACATCATCAAAATCAGAAAATGAACCCTGAGCAGAATATTGTTTTGGAATCTGAGGTATCTGGAGTGCATCAGCTTGGCAGAGCCCGTCTGGGGTCATGACTGCCTTGAGTTGTCCCGCCTCTAGTGTCCCTCAACCTGGATTCTTACCCGAGATGCTCTCTGTCACGGCTGGGACAGTTTGGAAGCCTGTGGGCTGGTATGTTGTTAGATGTCCTTCAATATCAGATTTATCTAATACTTACTAGGATCTTAAATGAGTACATGAAATCATCAAAAACTATAAATCCGGAAGTTTTACAGGCAGCTCTAAGCACTCACCAAAAGTGTGTCAGAGCTGCCCTCTGGCTCCGAATGGCGGCACTGATGATACAGTCCTGTGTTTGGTAGGCTTAGGTTTTGTCTCAGAGGCCTATCATTCCTTTCTCAGCACAGCTATCTGCTGGGTTGGTTCAGTGATGAGCAGCCCCAGCAGCCACTCTGGCCAGCTGGCTGGCAGCTGTGAGCAGGCTCGGGCTGTGTGCCAGCGACGGGCCACCCCGAAGGCCGTGAGAGACTCCGGTCAGGTCTCCTCTGCGTCCTAGCAGCCGCATTCTGGAAGACTCTCCCTCTTTGTGGCCGGAATCACAAGTCTGAGATCCCTACAATGTAACTGGAATTCCTAAAACATACTCTTAACAAAATCTGTAAGGTAGAAAATGTTATCCACATTTCACAGATAAGAAAATTGAGACCCAGCGATCAGGCCATGATTGCACATGGCCACGCAAATGGCACAGTTCAAATGAAGGTCTACACCCACTGATTTTTTATGGGTGACATGCATTTTTTACTAATATATTATGCACTTTAAAGTTATGAAAATTCAAGTTAAAAAGGTGGCTGAAGATGAAATAAATAATATTTTAAAAATAATTTTGTGCCCTGATTAGAATATTGCATGGAGTCTTGACTTCCCAGTGGACTCTCTGTATGTTGTGAGAGTTACTAAGATGGACTCTTTAGATCTGCAGGTATATTCATATTCATATTTTTTCCCTCAGAGAAAACTCCTAAAGTCATGAAAAATTAGAATGTGGGACAGCTGATTATTATGCTGTATGATCTCTGTATCGAGTGAACATATTGTGGCTTTAACAGAACCATTCCCTGGATGAGGTAGATAAATGTTTTCTTTCCTAAAAGTGGAATTAAATTACAAGCCTGGGTATCTGTTCTAATTTAAGGAGGAGGAACTCAGCTACTGGAAAATGTACCATTAGCTCCTATGCCTACCTTATCTGCCGTGGAAGTCATCCTGCAGTCTGTCAAAGTATTTCAGACCTAAAGGATTATGTGTCCCCATGACAAACCATTCTAGGGTAGAAAATGAAGACATAAACACTCCTTTCTCTCACTCAGTCAAAAGAACAGGAGCCAGGACATGGAAGGCAGGGAAAGCCAGGTTACCAGTACTAATCTCAGATGGCCATTTTTGGATTGGGTCTTTAAATTTGGAAGGCCTGATATTTTGAGTTCTTTATATGTTCTCAATAGTAATCCTTTGTCTGAGGAAAAACCAACAAACATTTTTCCCCAACTTGTGTGTTGTCTCTTTACTCTGTTGGTGGTTTCTCTTGCTGTGCAAAAGCTTTTTAATGAAACGAGATCCCAGTTGTTGATTCTTTGTAATAGTTCCTGTGCATTCAGGATTTTATTAATAAAGTCTTTGCTTATACCAATGCCTTCAAGAGTTTTACCTGTTCTATCTTCCAGGAGATTTAATATTTCTGTCCCAATATTTAGATCTTTGATCCATTTCAAATTTAGTTTAGTGCATGGTAGAGATATGGGTCCAATTTTAATCTTCAGCATGTGCAGAGTCAGTTTTTCCAATACCATATATTAAGAGTCTCTTTCTTCCAGTGAATGTGTTTGGCCCCTTTGTCAAAGGTAAAGTGGTTGAGTATGTGTAGTGTTTCTGCATCTTCTAGTCTGTTCCATTGATCAGGTCTTTTTTAATTTTTGTTTTGAGATGGTTTAATCACTGTAGCTTTATAGTATCATGATGTTTTAATATCGTGATGTTTTAATCACTGTAGCTTTATCGTATAATTTCAAGTCAGAGACTGTGATGCCCCCTGCTTTGTCTTTATTGCCCAGAATTGCCTTTGCCATTCTAGGTCTCTTCTGGTTCTAAATGAATTTTAGGATTGTTTTTTCTAAATCTGTGAGATATGCTATTGGAATTTTGATTGGAATTGCATTAAATCTGTATAACAGTTTTGGAAATATGGCCATTTTCACTATATTGGTTCTTCCTACCCAAGAGCAAGGGATATCTTCCCATTTTGTGATATTCACTTCAATCTTCTTTTTTAGAGTACTGTAGTTTTCAACATAGAGGTCTTTTACATTCTTCATTAGATTGATTCCTAGGTATTTCATTTTTTTGGATGCTATTGGGAAAGGTGTTGTTTCCCTAATTTCTCTCTCAGTGAGTTTGTTATTTGTATACATGAAGGTTATTAATTTTTAAGTGTTGACTGTGTAGCCAGGTACGCTATTGAATTTATTTATTTCCTAGTAGGTTTTTAGTGGAGTTTTTTGGGTCTTCTATGTAGAGTATCATGTCATTTGCAAATAATGATAACTTCTTCTTTTCCTATCATTATTCCTTATTTCTTTCTTTTGTCTAATTGCTCTGGCTAAAGTTCCCAGGACTATGTTAAATAAGAGTGGAGACAGTGGACATTCTTGTCTTGTTCCTGATTTTAGAGTGAAAGTTTTCAGTTTTTGTCCATTTAGTATGTTGGCTGTTGGTTTGTCATAGATGGCTTTTATTCGATTGAGATAAAGACCAATTTTCTGTAGGTTTTTTTTTTATCATGAATGGGTGCTGGATTTTTTTCAAAGGTTTTTTCTGCATCTATTGAGATGATCATGTGATTTTTGTCCTTGGCTCTATTAATATGGTATATTACATTTATTGATTTACATATGTTGAACCATCCTTGCATCCCTGGGATGAATCCCACTTGGTCATGGTAAATAGTCTTCTTGATAATTTGCTGTATTCTGTTTGCCAGTATCTTATTGAGGATTTTTGCATCTATGTTCATTAGAGAGATTGACCTGTAATTCTCTTTCTTAGTTGGGTCCTTCTCCAGTTTTGTTATCAGGGTAATGCTTGCTTCCAGGAATGAATTTGGGAGTATTTCTTCCCTTTTAATTTCATTACAGAGCTTGAGAAGTTGTGATATTAGATCTTCTCTAAATTTCTTGTAGAATTCAGCAGTGAAGCCCAGTGAATCCTGGGCTTTTCTTTGTTGGTAGGATTTTTTTTTATTTTAAAGGGAAAAAGAACCTAACAAAACCACAAAAATGAAGACAGAAACAAAAAACAGCACAGAAACATCAAAAATGATACATGACCTCAAAACAAAATGATAGGAATTAACAATGGTTGCTACATTTACATAAATGTAAATGTTCTCTTCAACAAAGTCGCTCAGTTCACCGGATGTAAGAATGCAAGATTGATCCAACAATCAAAGATAATAACAAATAGTAAAAAACAAATTGGAAATGATACAGAGCTTCACCATACAAGATGGTAGGAATTCAACAATGGTTCTTATATTGCATATTGTTATCTTCAAATCAGTTGTTCTGATTACCAGATATAAGCATGCAAAATATTTATTGTTTTTTATGCTGATTTGTTTATGTATTTGTTTTTGTTATTTTGATTTTTCTTTTCTCTTTAAAATGTTGGTCGGTTTTTAATTACATTTTTTATTTCATTGATTGATATTGGTTTATTTAGGGTTTTTATATCTTATTGATTCAGCTTTGGTAATTTGTATGTATCTAGGAATCTGTCCATTTCTTCAGCATTTTCCATTTTACTAGAATACAAGTTTTCAAAATAGGTATAGAAGATCTTCTAGATTTCTGTGGTGTCTATTGTGGCTTCACCCTTTTCTTCCCTAATTGTATGGATTTGAGTCTTTTCTTTTCCTTTTTCCTAAGGTTGGCTAGGAGTTTGTCAATTTTATTTAAACTTTCAGAGGAACAACTCTTTGATTCATTGATTCTTTTTTTTGTTTGTTTGTCTCTTTGTTTTTTAGTTTCCAATGCATTAATTGCTGCTCTGATCTTTATAATT